GGTTCTTCAGCAGGAGGGAGGGTTCCAGTGAGAGGGACTGGAGGTCGAATGGCCAGCTCGGACGCTTTCGCATGTCCGGAATGGGTTCCTCTGAGGGTGCGGGTGAAAATCGATCGATAGCGGGGTGTTGGTGGGGTTCGGGTGGCTGTCGGAAGAAGAAAAAAGAGGTTTAAAAGTATGTAAAATGATTGAGAATATACCACCAGCAACAGATCGTGTAAAACGTTTTAAACTTGTGGAAGAGGGCAGTAAGAGTGTCTTTTAGGGCGTCCTAACTATATATTCCCCCTTCCCAACTATCTTACAAAATTGGTGCTTAAACACTTAATTCTTGGTTAAAAAGTATTAAGTAATATGTAATTGTTTTGAAAGTGACCAAAGAATATTAAATTGAAGCCATATATAATTCTTATAATGAACTAAATAGAATCAAATCCATCAATATAAACTCCTGTTGCTCAGGTAACTTGCCTTATATTGGCGGAAATTACTGAAAAAACGGGGGAATTCTACCTTATATTGGCGGAAATTAACCAAAAAAGGTTAAGTCGGGCAACTGCAAAGTAGGTTGTCAAAGGCAAGTTGGAAGTCTAAAGACAGTGGAGGAGTACGGTGAGGGTCGGATGCTTACCGGGGTAGAAACTGGCGAACATTCGGGGGACCAATGCAGTTCAGCGGCAGCGTTATCCTGTACGACAGGCTGGGGGGCAGGCACCGCAGTGCTCTCGGGCTGCCCAACCAGGTAATCGTTGGCAGAAAGTGGCATGAACATCATTAAAGGCTGTTGCTGTGGTTGCTGTTGTTGTTGCTGCTGTTGTTGCTGCTGCTGCTGCTGTTGCTGCGGTTCGGGTTGATATTGCTGGTAGTGATCAGTGTTCAGGGTGGGAGACTGGACGGAAATGGCTGCCAGTGCAGAGGTTACTTCGTCTCTCATCACACTGTCAGGTGTTTGTTCGCGCAGAAGCTGCAAAAGAACAGCGAGGGGGTGGGCATGAGTTATCGAAACTGGTTTTGAGGAACCCCAACTGCGGAAGTAGGAAACTTGCCAAAAAACGCATTATCTATGTCTGATTACGGAAAATAAAACAAGGGTAGGAAAAAATTTTTAAACAACCGGGAGTGTAGATTTGTTTGAAAGCTTACTGCAAAGAGTCGTGAGGAGTTTTTCCCTGAGAAGAGGTTTTGAACATATTCGGCGGCCGAGTTGCTGAGGGCGGCAGTGGTTGGAGTGCAGGTAGAGGCGGAGGGTTCAGTTGCGTGGCATCTGGTCCGATGGAGTTTAAACTTTAGCCTTCGGTAGAGATCTCGTTCAAATTCGGGATTCTGCGTCGTCGTAGCTCGTGGCTCGGACGCCTCTACCTCGGAGTTATAAGGATAGAGGGGGTTGGAATTTGACCCATCAGGATTCGATGGGCGGCCTAAGTCATTTGCCAGAGAGAGGAGAATCTCTGCAGCTTGAAACTGACTGACCTTTGGTGGAAAACAAACGAAAATTTTTTTTATCAGGACGAAGAGCTTTATAATCTGGAAATTTCATCTCAAAGTAGCCTTTGGCCTTCTGTAATGCCATGTGTGCGAAGCAAATTGATTTGAAAACACCAGAAGCAGACGGCTTTACATTACTAAGACCAGTTCTCTCATAATTACTGAGCTCTACGTGGTAATGACTGCTTAAGAAAAAGTTTTAGTGAGCTTGGAGAGGATGTTGCGCATTAATTATCACTTAGGAAAGTAAGTACAAAATTCTGCTGGCAAAATACACCTAAGAATGCATGGAAAGGGTGTGATTTTAAATCAATTTTACAATGTAGACGAAAAGAAAAATACTTACATCAGTTGTGGATGCTAGCGACGGCCAATCCTGGCAAGATAGCGGGGCAATATCCAAACTCATGGCGGTACACAACTAGACACACAGAGAAATTCTGCGATTTGCCAACAACTAGAATCACGCCGAATATATACCACACCAGCCACTGTGGTCCTGCGTGTGCAAGTCAGCTGTGACCTTGTGAGTGAATGCACAAACATTTCACGCAGCCCTGCGCGCACTCTTCACTGGCGCGGACGCCATCCAATCAGG